ACAGACAGACGGAGATGGGGTGGCAGGAAAGAGGGACTTAGCAGAGCTGCAGGACCCTAGAGACAAAAGAAATCCATTCCATTAAAAAGCAAAGATATCTGAGGTCTAAGAAAAGAAAACCCTAACCGAGAAAGTCTTGCCAGGGCTGGAGAGATGCTCAGTGGTTAGGAGTACTGGTTGCTCTTCCAGAGGACCTGGGTTCAATTCCCAGCACCCACGTGGTGGCTCACCATCGCCTGTAACTCCAGTTTCAAGGACACCCTCTTCTGGCTTCCTCAGGTACCAAGCATGCACAGACATACATGCAAAAAAAGCACACATACACATAAAATTAAATTTAAAAGAAAATCCTGCTAAAGCACAGAAGTAATGCACAAGCATCTAAACTTCAGGCCAGTGCCTCTCTGTGCTCCTCCATGCCCTGCAGTCGCCTGCCGCAGTTGCTACAGCTCTGCCCCATGCTGGGGAGGGGACCTGCAGCCACAGTGACCCTAGACCGAGAAGCGGGCAGAAAGTGAGAGCCAATCACACGGAGCCGCTGAGTCCCTCCCACCCCTACCCCAGGGCAGCAGCCTCAGAATGGTGCCCACTGGCCCTGTATCTTACTGTCTTACTTTGAACGGGTGACCGATGGGATAGGCAACTGAGGCCCACTTGAAGGCGAGTGGATGTGGGGAGTCCTGGCACCCCTCTAGCACACTTCTGGGCACCATCATCCCCAGAGGTCAGCTCAAGGGGAGGGGACCACAGGGACAATCAGAAGCTGTTGTGACCCCTAGAGCTCCACCAAAGGGAAGGATGTCCTGCCCAGCCAGCCTCAAAAACCACAGACCTAAGACTGCTCCAGTAGATAGTGTAGCAGCTGCTTACCCTGAGCTTTAGAGATCAAAGAAGGTACTCACTGAGTCTTACTGGAGGATAAGAGGTAACACTATGCTCCCCCGCCAAGGGGCAAGGAATGGGGATACAAGAGAAAAGGGAAAGACAGATGGGAGGGGTGGGAGGCAGAGAGAAGGCACTAAAAGAGCAGCAGCCACTGTTTGGTGCCTGGAAAAGTCAAGCATGACTTTTCAGGAGCCTCAGTGTCTGCATCTGAGTAATGGGCGTGCTATCACTTCCTCACTGTCATCTGAGAGCATCGGATAATGGAATGCACACAACGGCACAGTGCAGTTTATGTCATATAAATGTCCCCTGCTTTCTTCTCAGCCCCAAGCCTATGGGGGCGAGGAGAAATGGGGACGAAGGGAGGGGGAGGGGTCTGCATCCTGTGTGCTAGTGACTTACAGCAAGCCTTCTGGAGGAGGCAGCACCCAAGAGGCCTTTCAGGAAGATCTAAGCCTGGAAAGACAGCGACCCAGAGAAGATTCAAACGGTGGGGAAAAGCATGTGTGTCTACACATGTGCGTCTGTGTGCCTGAGTGTGACCTGTGCAGATGTGTGTACATGTGGCTGTTCCATGGTGTGTTTGTATCTGGTGTGTGTGGCTGCAGCCCCCCAGGTGAATGGGGGGGAAGATGGAACCTTTAGGGTCTCAATGGCCCTGACTGCTTCTGCAGTCCCCTACCCTTGAGCTGACCTCTGGTCTGTCCCAGCATAAGGTTAGTGGTACCCGGGAAGTCCTAGATCGATGCCAGAACTCGTGCTTCTGTCTACGCCTGCCAGCCACCCTCAGATGGGCCACGGCTGCCTTCCCCACCTATCTCCAGCTCAAACCAGGATGAGGAGAAGTGAGAGGTCCGTGGGAGCCAGCATTGAAGGACACTGCCAACCCAAGCAAGAGGAGACTCAGCTACTTAGTGGCCCTGGTCCTAACTCCCCCGCCTGCTTCTAGGACCAGGGCTGCCACTGCTGCAGGTCCCTGGGCGGGAGTAAGGTAGGTGGATGTGAGTCCTGAAATCTGAGCAGGAGAGGGCGCACAGGGGGACCTCCAGACCATCTGAATGTCTCGGCCTGCCCACACTGCACCCAGGATTAGATTAAACATAGGGTGTAAAGGCTTTGCTGAGGGCAACTCAGGAACTAAGTGCCAGCCGGAGGGACTGGGTAGGCACTCAGAGGAGTCAGGAGGGCCTTTGCTGCTGACCTTGACTGAATTGTCCATCCCCACAGTGTCCCCTCCTATATCATGGCAGGCCGGGCTTAGCCAGTCTGAGTCACCAAGACCCTGCGGGGAGGTGCAGTCAGTCAGGCCAAGTGTGGATCCAGGACCCTGGTTGGGCTCAGGGGTAAAGCAGCACTACTACCTCAGGTGGGGCTGAGGAGGCTCCACACTGCCTCTGGTGTTGCTTCTGGGGCGGGCTGTGGGAAGCTCTTTGGGCCTAAGGTTTTTGCCCATGCTCTAGGGAACATGTGGACCTCTGCACACTGCATATCATGTGTTCATCTGTTAGCTCAGTGGCCGAGGCCCATCACTCTCCACAGGTGACCACTGAGTCCCCCCCAGTTCTTGGAGAGATGAGCTCTGCCCAAAGGCTTGGCCAGGGTACAGTTTTTGTGCGGGATGACCCTCCTTGAACAATCTTGTCTTTCTGGGCTTTTGCTGGTCAGACTCACCTGCTACCCTGTCTTTGCTGCCCCCCCCCAAAAAAAACACCCTACAAAGCCCACAGAAGGATTTCCCTGCTACATTTGCAGATCACACAATCATCATAAGAGACAGAAAAATAGGCACAGTACAGGTTGAATCCTGAATCCTGAGACACCCCCTGCCCGCTGCCTCCTGGCCTGATCTTAAATTCTACTCAGCCACTCATCAGCTCTGGCTTTGTGCAGAGCTCAGACCTCCACCTGTCTGAGGCTAGTGCAGTCTACAGGTTCCATGCTCCATCTGGGTAGGGCGTTAGGACAGGGGGCACGGCAAGAGAGGCATCCAGCCTGACAGGTCTCAGTGGGGGAGCCCACCCCCCGCGGTCACATTGCAAGCTCCCACACAGGGCTTCTCTGACCAGTGGCCCACAAACCAAGAAGGACAACCTGTCCTTCAGATCCATCCTCACTGCAGGAGGAAGCCGCTAACAGGGGGTCCGTCCCTGCCTTGGGAAAAGGGCCCTCCCCAGGCTTCACACCCAGAGGACACATAGCTCCCCCGCAGCCCTCCGCCTGAGAAGGCTTGAATGCTGACTCCACCCACCAAAAGCAAGGAACCTGCAGAGGACCATGCTTGTGCCGGCAGCACCCCTCACCCTGCTGCTCCACACCTGCCCTGCCCACCCCCTCCCCACAGCCTGACTCGGGCAGGTGACCAGCCACACCTGCAAAATGGCCGCCGCAGGTGCGGCCCCAGCCCCCCGAACCCCAACAGCTTCCCTGCAGCCTGCGCTGCCTCCTTCGACAGAGGCGCTGGGCACGTTGCCCTGGCAGCCGCCTTCGGCCCGCTTGGTGTGACCGTGTCTTCCGCAGGAGCCTGCGCTGAGTCTGTGGGTCCCCGGGGTTGGACTCGCACCAGCCCTGAGCGCAGCAGGAACTCTCCGCACCTCCTCCTCCCTCCGCCTCGTGATCCAATCCGCTTGCCCTAGCAGGCCTTTAATCCCAGCAATGCGGTCCCCTCTTAGGTAGGCTAGCCGCTGGGGGACCGGTCCTCTGGCCTTCGGGGATGGGGGGCGGGGGTGAAGTCCCCATTCCTGGGGACGTGGGCGCGCATCGGGTCCGCGCCCGGGCGACGTTGCGCCGGGGCCCAGCAGGCCCCATGACTTGGCAATCCCTCTCTCCCCTCCCCCGCCCCTCGCCTGTGGCCCCCAGCAGCCTGCACCTCACCGCACCGCAGACCCTCCCTCTCCCTCTCAGCCCGAATGCGGTCCCTGCCCCTTGGGGAGCAGAGGGCGGTGGCCTTCCCCTAGGAAGCAGTTGGGGCGAGGAGTGGCTTAATGAGGGAGTGCGAGGGTCTTCGCAGGCAATGTTCCTAGAGTCAACCCATTGCCAGACGCCCGGGGATCTCTGCTAGCCCAGACGACGCGTCCCTCAGCCCCCTCCCTCCAGCCGGGGGCCACACCTGTTACTGGGGCGCTGGCTTAGTGACTGCCAGGCGTGTCAGCGGGTGGTTCCTCCCGCGCTGTGTCTTTCTGGAAGGGAAATGGGGTCTCTGGAGGGAGGGGCATATATATAGCAATAGGAGTGATGGGCAGTCACCGGTGAAGTGCGCATTAAGCCGGTGGCCTGGCCGTGGCGCCGCATCCCCCGCCCCGCCCGCCTGTTTTGCTGTCGGCTCCAGCATCGGCCCTCCCCCACCCACCGGGGACCAGAGCGGCTGCCCCGCGCACCCTTCCCTAGGGCCTGGATCAGCAGCCGCGCCCCGTCCCGACGCCCCGCAGCCTTGTCCTGGTCCCTACTCGGCATCTCTGCCTCCCCTCCCCCCGCGGATCCGTCGCATCCCTCTGGGTAGCTCCTCTGCAGTGGAGGGATACAGGGGGAAAGGAGGCTGTGACCAAATCGGCCTGTCCCTCTCGCTGGCGACCTCCGCCCACACGGGCCAAGGGTCGCTCAGCAGCAAAGGAGTCTTTTCTGAGGGCCCTGAAAAGCTTCGCAAGGAGCACCGACACCCCTGAATTCGCCCCTTTGTTCTTCGAAGAGGCGGAGGAAGGTCGGGGGAAGGGAAGCCGCAGCTCCAAGCCCGCGCTTTGGGCTGCGACAAGGACATTGGCGATGGCCCGGAATCCCCCACCCGATGCATTTAGTGCGGGTGCCGGATGCCACGGACAGGTGCGGGATGATGAACGCGGATGGCGACCGGCAGGGCGGGCGGTAGCCTTACCTCTCAGGCGTCACTGGCGGCGGCCCCGCATGGGCACTGGCACCGGAGAGGGTCCCCGAGCCTGGAACTGATGCTGCTCGCTGGCTGCTGCTGGTGCTGTGACGGTGGCGCCGCGTGACGAGCTCCGTGCCCCCGGCCCGGCCCTCCCCGAGCCCCTCCCGATGCGCTGGTTGGCTGCGCGCTGCGTCCGAGGCTCAGCCGCCAGCTGGTTTGTCGCGCGGGGAGAGGGACAGGCAGAAGAGATGAGGTTGGAGCGGGAGGGGGCTGGGGCTGGGCTGTGACATCACCAGAGAGGGGTGGGGGACAGACGCCCGGAATCGGAGGCAGCATCCCCTCGCTCAGCACTGCCTTTCACTCCCAGAGAGGGACTCGGTGGCGCCCAGCTGAACCTGCCTGCAGACTCGGAACGAAGCCCTTACTGCTTTCAACGGAAATCATAAAAACTGTGAACCATCCACCTGCTGGGCCCGGGGACATCAACACAGGCGCGTCATAGGGAACAAAAAAAAAATACAGCTAGGTGTGGGGTTGGGGCGCTTCTTTCACTGAAGAAGGTATGTAGGGGCGGGCTAGGGATCTGGACTCCAGAGAGTTAACAGGTGGGTCTTAACATCGCATCTGGTGTCTGGCCCAGATCATCAGAAGAAAGCCAGAACATTGCAGGGAGTGCTGCTAACCAGGATGACGACACAGCCGGCGAGCTGACCCGAACCTCCTTCCTGCAGGTGGAGACCTCCATCCTTGTCCTCCTATTCCGTGGCTGTCATCACATACTATTACTCGGGTCTAGATTCCCCGGCCCTCAACCCACACGCTTCTCTGGATCCTCACTGGCCAACCCAGCCTTCACGGACTCTCCTCCGTTTTCCTTTTTCAGTAGGGCTTGGCTGGTAGCCGTTGCACTATGGGGCCAGTCACAGCCCAGGACTGAGTAACTCGGACAGGGCCTATGGTCGCTCACCCACCAGGACTCCCCGCACTGCTGTGGTGGGTGTGATGACGTCATGTGACCATGAAACCAGGGCTCCAGACTTCCTCTCCACAGAGCCCCTGCCGGCAGCATCTCCTGCTCCAGGCAGTTTGCTGGGCACTTTAAATTGTTAGCCACTTAATCCACAGCAGCCTGAGGGAGGCGGTGCTCCACCTCCGCTCACCACGCCACTGTGCAGTAAGATTCCCTGTAAGCAACGCGGGCCCAGACCCTCCATCTTCTGGCAGATACTACCCCCACTCCCACCCCACCCCTCCAAAGCTGGGGAAAAGCTCCCCCCTTTTTGTTTCCCAGTATCACCCGAATAAGCTACTGGACAGCTATAGACAACAGAGCTGATAGGCAGCTAATCTTCAAGGATGATAAGAACAAAAAGTCATAATGTTTATGACTCCATTTTTGCTTGTTAATCCGGACAAAGCCGATGGCTCTCCAGGCAGCTGAGCTTTTGCTAAGCATTCATGTCGATTGAGTTTTTGAATTGCCAGCATATGGAAGTATGTTCCTTACCGTTGGCTGCCGCTGTGACATAGGCCAACTAACAGAAGGGAATGGTTTTTGTTAAGAAGGTATACTGTCAGGGCAGTGGGAAGCTGTGTTCCCGGGAGGACATGCTAGCAGGAGCCTGAGGCAGCAGGTCACACCGTGTTCACAGTCGGGAAGCAGAGGGAGATGAATGTTGAACCGGATTAATTTTTCTGCTTTATTCAATTCAGGACCACAGCCCTTGAGACGGTACTACCCACATTTAGGGTTTTTCTCCCCTGAGTTAAGTTTTTCTGGAAAGACCTCATAGACAAAGTCCATAATGTGTCTCCTGGTGATGTTAAATCCAGCCAGGTTGACAATGAAAAAAGATGCCATTGTTTCTGTACTTTTTTTGTTATATATGTTCCTTCCACTTTGTGGTGTGTGTGTGTGTGTGTGTGTGTGTGTGTGTGTGTGTGTGTGTGTGTGTGTGTGTTATATGCATTTATGAGTGAAGCCACATGTGTGTGCAAGTGCATTGCATATGTGCACTTGTATGCAGCAGCCAGAGGCTGACACAGTATTTTCCTTGGCCACCCACCTTGTGTGCTGAGGTAAGGTCTCTCAAGTGATCCCAGAGTTTACTGATTGGGTGAGTCTACCTATCCAGCTCTATCCAGAGATTCCTGTCTGAGTCTCCCAAGCAATGGGATCAGGTGGGCCACCACACCTACCCAGCATTTACACAGATCCTGGGGCACGGAACTCTAGTCCCTCACACCTTCGAAGCAAACACTTACCCATTGAGCCGTTTCCCCAGCCCCATTTCTTCTTTTTGATGTGATTTTGAATATTGTCAGAAATCCAACTTTAGTTTTGTGAATCTTCTCGGTTTCCCCTTTATTTTATTTATTTCTGTCCCCGTCTGTTATTTCCTTCACGAGTCTTTGGATTCTGTTTGTGTCTCTCTTTAAGCTTTTCCGTATTCTAAAATTTCAGTATCTATTTAGAGCTGCAGAACTCCTTCTCCAGTCCTGCCTCAGACTGATCTAACCAGTTGGCTCCTGCATTTTCGTGGTCATTCTGATCTAAATGTTTGTGTGCCTAATGACCTCTCTTGAATAATTTTACTTTCCTGTAGTGTGTGTTTGTAATCTTTTGTTACCACTTTCCAATTAAACCTCCTTACATTACAAAGTACGTTCAGTCAAGGTCCTGGCCAGAAGTATATGTATGTACGTGCACTGTGTGAATTCAGGAGGCTGAAGAGACAAGAAGGGGGCATTGGATCACCTAGGACTGAAGTTACAGTGGGCTGTAAGCCTCCATGTGGGTGCTGGGAACTGGAGCCTGGTCCTCTGTATACAGCCAGTGCTCCTAACAGCTGAGCCTCTACAGATCTTGATCATTTTGTTGTTGTTTGTTTGCTTGCTTTTTGTTTTGTTTGTGTGAGACAGGGTTCCTCTGTAAAGCCCTGGCTGCCCTGGAATTCACTCTGTAGACCAGGCTAACCTTGAACTCTCAGAGATCCACCTGCCTCTGCCTCCCAAGTGCTGGAGTTAAAGACATGTGCCACCACTGCCCAGTCAATTCTTGGAACTTTTAAGTCTACTTTGTTTCAACCTTTAATTTTCTAACTTAATCCACTATAATAATCAACTATATCAAGACCCAGTTTTAACACCATATTTTAAATGTCCATTAATTCAATGGCGTTCTCCTTATTTCTCATTAAATAATCTGAGTTTTCTTCTGCTAAATTATTCTTACTTTTATTCTATGACAATTGCTCTGAACTTAAGACTCATTTTGATTTATCCTGTATCCAAGTTTAAATTTTTCTTTAAAAATTATATGTGTGTTTGAGTGTGTGTACACGTGTGTGCAAGTGACTTAAGAGGCCAGGGGAGGGCATCAGATTCCCTGGAGATGGAGTGACAAGCCACTGAGAGCCACCCACTGTGGCTGCTGGGAACTGAACTCACGTCATTTGGAAGAGCAACAAGTGTTAACTGCTTAGCCATCTCTCCAGTCCCAACAAGTCTGCTTTTTTTGTTTGTTTGTTTGTTTGTTTGTTACAATAATAATACAATTTGCCAGGCAAAGGTGGTGCACATCTTTAATCCCAGCATTGGGAGGCAGAGGCAGGAGGATCTCTGTGAATTTGAGCCAGCCTGGTCTACAGAATGAGTTCCAAGACAAGTTCCAAGGTTACACAGAGAAACCCTGTCTCAAAAACCAAAAAAACAAAAATAAAATATTTAAAACAATGAAATTACAGAAAGGAAAGGCTCGGTGTCAGCAGATGACTCTGGAGGTTCCAGGCACAACAGGGGAGGGCGACTCCTCCGCCTTGGCCCTCTGGTGAGGGCTGGAGTGTGCTGGAGCCAAGTGTTTATCTCCAATGCCTTCAGGGCTTCCCACTAGGCTCCACCTTCTAAAAATCTGTGCCCTCTCCCCACAGTGCCACCTGGGGTCAGGACTTGGTGTGGGACACTCACTGTGCAGAGCACAGGACTCACACACCTATGGAGGACGCATAGTCTCAATGTTCACTTGCTGGGCATCACTTTGGTCCCTTCTTCCCTATCGCAGGCACTGTTGAGTCTGTCTAGACTTATAGCTATGGCAGAAACACAGTCTTCTTCCCCTGGCTCCTTGCTTTAAACCAGTGGATGCACATTCTGAAATACTTGACCCTCTTGTTGCCTCATTCTCCATGCTTGCTTTGAGACCGGGTCTCACTTAGCCCTGGCTCGACTAAAATCTGCTGTGTAGCTGAGAATGACCTTGAGCCTCTGAGCTTCTTGGTGGGTATCACCTTGTCTAGCTCCATACTTCTTGAAGCTTCTTTTATATCTACATTATTCATGACATGTAAAGTCTTCTAACATGGATCCTGGCTGGAAATTATTCTGATGTCTCAGAGGCAGGAGGATTGCAATATTTCCAGGCCAGCCTAGGCTATGCAGTGAGTCCCAAGCTAATGTGGCCGACACAGTGAGACTTTACCATGTGTGCACACACACACACACACACACACACACACACACACACACACGCACACGCACACGCACACACACTTTACAAAGGAGGAGGTGGAGCAGAAGCCGTGCTGACTGGCGTGCTCAAAGAAATTATGGAAGAACACAGAAACACAAAATTAGAACAAAAGAGAAAACAGATTTAGAGTTAGTGAAACGCTCCACACAAATAACTTGAAAAATATGTGTGAAGTGAATGGTTTTGTGAATAAATCAGCTGAAACTCAAATAGACGGGCATCATGGAGGAAATGGACACTTTCACAGAGAAGCACCCCACAGACTTGGCCAGGAGAATTTCACATTCTTTCAAACATAAAAATAGTCGAGAGTCGTCTGGTGTTGGCTAAAGCGATTTACAGCTGCAAAATGGAAGATGTTCATGAAACCCTTTTTCAAAGTCAGGACAACAGCGATGCCTGGTGGGGAGGCCTTAGTGACCTCCACGGGTTTCCTGGTGATGCTAACACTGTAGTAACACCGTGACCAGGCAGGATCCAGTACTACATTCTGTGCTACACCACGGCTAAACCTTTGGATTGAAGTGGTCAAGACGAGGGTAGCTAAGCAGTCAAAGGTGTGTCCACCTTGGATAAAGAGTCCCGGCTATGTTGCTCAGTACAAAAATAAAAAATAAGCATCCCCTTTGGGATTGACCTCCTCTTCTACTGGAGAAAAGAGAAGCTTGGCAGCGTCTCACTAGGCAATTTCAGCCTTGGGGCGACCAGGGGCAGAGGTCAACCCAATCCTCCAGCAATTGTGTGACCTCCACAAGTGCTCAGCCCTGGGCTAGTCCTCCCCGGGTGGGAGAAGAGCACCCTCAGGCACCTGAGTTAGCAATGAATTAGCAGATGTGAATGCTGAGCCTGGGTCTGGGCACACAGCAAAGCCCACATACACAAGACAAATAGTGAGACAGCAAAGTAGCTCCCGTTATCATAAGGATGTGCACTCTTGCTTCAACTCAAGTATCATCTGATACATATAGAGAAGAGAAGAAAATGTGACATAAGAAGAGAAATATTCATATCCACCTCTGCCCACCAAAGTTGCTAAAATTCTTATTATTTATTGACTACAGGACCATCTTTTGTTCCATATTTTTCTCCTAGACCAAATCTTTGGTTCTAAGACCTGACTTCTCTTCTTGGACCTTACAGGACAATGGAATGCCTTTCGCTCTAATGAGCAAAATTTGGTGGGCTCCTGGACAGTTTTGGGCCCAAGGCTTGTCATAGAAAGCTTAAGCTGTACTGGGAGCTGGGAACTTCCGATCTCATCCCCTTATCCTTGGGGATAGAGAGGTAAGTTCATCGTGGATCACACCTACTGGATGAAGACAATGGACTGAATGTTGCCCCTCACCGCAGTTTATACCTGTTTCAGGTATTCTGTTATGTCATCCAGATAGACTTAACCCTCAGTGAGATAGGATTAAGAGGTGGAGTCTTGCTGGACAGTGGTGGTGCATGCCTTTAATCCCAGCACTCGAGAGGCAGTGGCAAGAGGATCTCTGTGAGTTCGAGGCCAGCCTGGTCTACAAAGAGAATTTCAGGATAGCCAAACTACAAAGAGAAACCCTATCTTGAAAAAAAAAAAAAAAAAAAACAGAGAGAGAGGGGCGGGGAGATGGAGTCTCAGGAAATTAGGTCAGAAAAGCAGAGCCCTCCCTCACAAATGAGATTCTTGCTTGGTACCATTAGCATGAAATGTCCCCACAAGCTTGTATGTTTGAAGTGTGGTTTCTGAGCTAGTTTTGGAGGTTGTGGAACCTTAGGAAAGAGGGGCCTAGGGAAGTGGGCCACTGGGGTGTGCCTTGAGCTTTGTAACCTGCTTTGTAACCTGCCTTGTTTCTGGTCTGAGACCTGGCTACATCTGACTCCAGTCACCAAGAAGCCACCCATTGGCATGCCTTTCCTGACATGCATTCACTCAAACAGTAAGCCAAACTAACGCTTTCATTCTTCTGAGCTTGTAGGTTCTATCGAGAGATCATAGCCTATAGTATGTTCTGGACTGAAGAAGCATTCTCCTTATCAGGGAAGGCCATCCTACTCTGCTGAGCACAACACTTCAAGAGTGACACAGAGTAGTGAGGGAGGCCACATAAGCGGCTGGATCAGCTGAATTAAGTAAGCATCATGAACAACGGGATGACAGATGTCAGCTAGGTAGCCCTTATCCCTTCCTTCCTTCCTTCCTTCCTTCCTTCCTTCCTTCCTTCCTTCCTTCCTTCCTTCCTTCCTTCCTTCCTTCCTTCCAATTGCTTTAGTTGGCTATTTGGCCACAGAGATGAGACATGTAACCAATATGGTGCCCATGTGAAAAGGATCAAGGGAATACCTTCCACCATGTGAGGAAGTCTCCATGCATGAGGGTCAGGTCCTCATCTGGCACAATGACTCTTTTGGCATTCCTTTCTCAGACTTCCAGTCTCCAAAACTGAGAAGAAAAAAATGTGCTGTTTCTAAATTACCTTGCTTAAGGTATACTGTTATGGCACCCCAGACAGACCAAGACAGGAAGCCTCCACAAAAATCCCTGAGATACAGGACTGGGAAGTTCGAAAGTTGGTAAACACATCCCCGAGCCAGAAGGATGGTAGAAGCTCCTGAACCCAGGACTGTTTTAGACTCATCTGTGACCTCTTTACCCGGCTTTTTACCATGTCCTATTAACACATGGGTGAACCTCTATGTTGCTCTGAATTCTGTGAGCTGTCAGAGAAAATTACCAAAGCTCTGGAGAGGCGTCAGGAGTCCCTGGTTTACCACAGGTCAGAGTTTAGGTGACCTATAACTCACTACCTGTAGTTGGCACTGAAGCAGGACTCCATCTCAAGGAACTTAGCTCTGCCCTGTGGGGACTCACTCTGGCTTCGGTAATCCATGACAGAGTTGAGCTGTGGGACACTTGGCTGGTTTGCAGGAGAGCTAACGAACTCTGTGATGTGGGGGTGATCTCACTTCAAACTCAGTGCCAGAGATATTGACTCTGAAGAAAAACACAGGTGTGCTTTTTTCCTATTTAAACACAAGATAAAAATACCAGAAAGGAAGAAACAAAATTATTATTTTCAGATGATGTGATGATCTAGCTAGAAAACTTGAATGACAAGTGGAGAGCTTCGAGACACATAAGAGTGGTGCAGTTATTTTTAAATATAGAAAAGACTCAAAATCCACTAAAGCTTAGTGAAAAGGGAGGACTCCCCCAAGTTCAAAATCCGTGTTCAATATACAATTAAAACAGCAGCCGAAGTTTACATGGGAAAAACAATAAGGAAGTCTAGGAGGATTTGCCACTCATATATCAAATCTCAGACCAGGCGTGAGGACACGTTGTCATCCTGGCATTAGGGAAACAGGCAGGAGGATTGCTGTAAGTTCAAGTCCAGCCTGGTTTACACCACAAGCTCTAGGACAGCTAGGGCTACAAAGTGACAGACTGTCTCAAAACACCTAACTCTGGTAGTTACAAAGATGCCAGAATGAAGGGCATCAAATTCGCATGAGGAAGGCATCGTTTGGGGGAAATGGGTGGGACCTGTATGAAGCTATAAAGCTGGATTCCACCTGATACTTGACGGTGAGATCAATCTCTGATGAGAACATTTAGGGAGCTGGATAGAGTGGAGAGCGTAGGATATAGCCTGTAACCTGAACTCTCAGAAGATAGATGGGCTGAAGAAAAAAAAAAATGCCTGAACATCTATTTAACCCAGCCAAGAACAGAATCCAAAAGGCGACCCCACACCAGAAAGAGCATTTCAACACACATGAAGGTAATGAGCATTCCCTAATTGTAAGAAAAGATTGTTCAGGTCAACAGCAAGCAAAACAGAAATACATGTAATCCCCAGCCAAATGGACAAAGACTGAGATGGAGCACTTACATAAAGAAAATAGATGAATAACAAACAAACAAACCAAAAGACCATCACAGAGAAATTCAGATCAAAACAGAGATCTGTGTTGAACTATATGGCCTCTGGAGATGAGCATGTCTGGTGACATTCGGCAGAGCCAGCTGTCTGTCACTGTCACTCCAGGAAAAGTAGTGCCACTCCCCTAGAGGAAGTTTGTCCAGATACATCTGCATTTAAACTGAGCTTACACTTGATCCCTGCTCTGTGCCTCTTTTCAATGCACACAGAGATTTGCCCAAGTAGACAAGGATATAAACCAAGTAGACAGGAATATCGCTCAAGTAGACAAGAGTATAAACCAAGTAGACAGGAATATCACTCAAGTAGACAAGGATATAAACCAAGTAGACAGGAATATTGCCCAAGTAGACAAGGATATAAACCAAGTAGACAGGAATATTGCCCAAGTAGACAAGGATATAAACCAAGTAGACAGGAATATCGCTCAAGTAGACAAGGATATAAACCAAGTAGACAGGAATATTGCTCAAGTAGACAAGAATATAAACCAAGTAGACAGGAATATTGCCCAAGTAGACAAGGCTATAAACCAAGTAGACAGGAATATTGCCCAAGTAGACAAGGATATAAACCAAGTAGACAGGAATATCGCTCAAGTAGACAAGGATATAAACCAAGTAGACAGGAATATCGCTCAAGTAGACAAGAATATAAACCAAGTAGACAGGAATATCGCTCAAGTAGACAAGGATATAAACCAAGTAGACAGGAATATCGCTCAAGTAGACAAGGATATAAACCAAGTAGACAAGGATATAAACCAAGTAGACAGGAATATTGCCCAAATAGACAAGGATATAAACCAAGTAGACAGGAATATTGCTCAAGTAGACAAGAATATTAACCACAATGGAAGCAAAAACTGAAGCTGATAGAGTGTTCATTTTTTGGGAACTGGCTTGATGAATTGGGGTGATACTCCAAAGCTGCTAGAGAGATAGATAGATAGATAGATAGATAGATAGATAGATAGATAGATAGATAGATAGATAGATAGAACAGTGTATGATGAGGGAGGAAGATGGCCAGATGTTCTAGTTTTCTCTCTATCACCGCGACAAACACCATGACCAAAAGTAATAAGGAGAGAAAAGGGGTTTACAGATGTAGTCCATCGTGAAGGGAAGTCAGGGCAGGAATTCAGGGCAGGAGCCTGGATGTAGGAACTGAAGTAGAGGCCATGGAGGAACATTGCTTAATGGCTTGCTCCTCATGGCTTGCTCAGCTTGTTTTTTCATACAGCCTGGAACCACCTGCCCAGGGGTGGCACTGCCAACAGTGGGCTGGGCCCTCCCACATCAATCATTAATCAAGAAAATGCCTCTCAGGTGTGCCCGCCAGCCAGCCTGACATTTTCTCAATGGAAGTTCCTCTTCCCAGGTGACTGCAGTTTGTATTGCGTTGATGAATGCTGGCTAGCACACTGGGATGTTTTGATGAATTATTTAGAGACAGGTATGAATAGGTAACCCTGCTTCTGGTTTTTCAGGGTTGGCAAGACTACAGAACCTGCTGGAAGGAGGGGTGGCATTCTCTGTTTCACTTTTTAAATAAATACTCTCCCTCTGTCTGTAGTTTGAATTTTTAGGTTTTGCTCAGATATAACGCTTTCTCACCAGTAGACTTGAGTACTGATGAGGGCAAATTTTCACTCTATTTAATTTTTTAATAATGTTCTGCGTTTAAACTGCTAAAAAAAATCTTCCAATAAAACAAGAAAAAGTTTTTTTGTTGTTGTTGTTTTTTTTTTTTTTTTTTTGGTTTTTCGAGACAGGGTTTCTCTGTGTAACTTTGCGCCTTTCCTGGAACTCACTTGGTAGTCCAGGCTGGCCTCGAACTCACAGAGATCTGCCTGGCTCTGCCTCCCGAGTGCTGGGATTAAAGGCGTGCGCCACCACCGCCCGGCAAAACAAGAAAAAGTTTTAAACATCTTACTAGATTCAGACATCTAGATAAAATCAAACCATGATGAACAATCAGTCGGTTGAATCCTATGAAATTCTTTGGGTCTGGGGCTGTGACCATATCCGAAAAGGGCCAGCCACTGTCAGCATTCCTTAGTCACCTGTAGTTCTTTGTGTAGGTTGAGGCACGAGGGCTCTCCTCCTTCCACTTAATATCTCTGTTGTTATCCTTGCTTAGCGCACGCGTGGGCAGTCATGGTGGTGAGGCTGTGGCCACAGCATCTGATATCCATAGGAGACTCAATGTCAGAGCACACTCCCAGGCCTCTGGCTCGTAGGATCTTTCTGACCCCTCTTCCGAAATCATCCCTGAGCCTTGGTGTTGTAGATGTGTCCACTGGGACTGAACTCCACAACTCTGCATTTTGATTGGTTGTGGGTTTCTGGGATGCTCTCCACGTGTTGCAAAGAGAAGTTTCCTTAATGAGAGGTGGGTATAATATTTAGATAAATATTTAGATTGTCGTTAGGGATTATGCTTTTTAAGTAAAGTGGTGGTTGTGTCTTCTCTTCCAGGATCCATGACTTCACTAGCCCAGGCTAGTTGGCTAGGTGTTCTGGTACCAGGCATTATTTCCCTTGCATTGAGCTGGTCTTATGACTTCTAAACATGAGCAAAACAAGGATGACACAGTGGACATGCTAACATGGATGGGGCGGGGTGTATCCTGGAGGTCGCTACCCTACACAAAGAGCGACAGACAACTAAGAATGCAAGGAGAGGGAGAAATAACCTTCCCCAGGAAAGAATACAGCAATTGTTTATCCAACGATCATATCTGTAAACATACACACAGACTAAACAGGCTGTAATTATGTGTTTAGGAATTTATGTGTATATATACACGTATACATGTAACAACAGTTAATGAAAAAAAGAGGCCATAAATTTGAAAGCGAGTGAGGTAGGGTATATGGAGGGTTTGGAGGGAAGAAAGGGAAATAATGTAATTGTATTATAATATCAAAAAATAAAAGAAAGAAATAAAAATTTAAAGGTTCAACCACATAAATGTCGGAATAACAAGTCATCAGAGGAGCCTAAGTTCACCATCTGAAAGGAACAACCCTCCAGAGGCTGCTGACCCAGGGATGGGGAGAACTGAGGCATTCAGACAGCTATTGTGCAGATTTGCAGATCCGGGGGATAAGGGGAAGCATTCAGGGATTAGGTGGACATGGGAATGGGAGGTCTTACCCAGGTTAGCCTTAGGGGAACAAGGCGGGTCAGGAGGCAGGCCTGCGCCCTGCAGAGAAGGGAAGGGCTAAGAAAGATCCCTGGAGCTTAAGAGTATAGGCACTGAAGCAGTATTTGAAGTTGTCTTGGCTTAGAAAAAACAAAAACAAACAAACAAACAAACCTAGAGATCAAGGAGTAAACAAGAAGAGTGAAGACAGGTCATCTGGACAGAAGCCGATTGTGAGCCCCAAGTCCATCTGAGCTTCTGAGGATGCTGGCGACTCCAGCAGATACCACCGCCCGGCTCCGCTTCCAGCCACGCCCTCAAGTCACTCCCACAGGAGGCCCGGTTGCCGTGGTAATCTCTTTGGTAGTTGTTAGACTCCCTGCCCCGCCCTTCACTAGAGCAGTGTGGCTCTTAGCGACTGTGAGGCAGGCGGGCTTGAGATCCCCAGGGCTCTCTCTGTAAACTGCAGCCAGTGCCTGGTCCTGCCTGCGCTGGGCTCCTGGCTGCTGGAGGGCTTACTGCTGTGTTCAGCAGGTTTCTGCAGTGCCAGTGAGCCTGTGGAGCTCTGGGGATTCGCATTTGCTCACGATGGGGTTGGGGTGCAGCCTCGCAGACTGAACAATGGAAGCCTGTAGGGATTCAAAGGCATGGTACAGATAGGAAAACGGAGACCTCCTGGTCTCAGCTTGCTTGCTCTGCTCCAGGCGGCTGCCCCATAGCCGGGCCATTATGGCAGGCCAGCCCTGCGACTGACCATACTTTGTCTTCAGCTTTTTTCCTAAGCAGCATTCCCTGTGTTTTTACAGGTTTTTGTTCGTTTTTGTTTTGTGCTCTTTGAGCTATTTTGTATTTGGCATATTTAAACTAATCTTTTTTGGGCGGGTGTTTGTTTTTTGTTTGTTTGACCAGTTTGACCATATAGCTATAACCTCATAAAAAAGTGGCTATCCCTAGCTGGGCAGGGATAGCACACGCCTTTAATTCGGGGGTGGGGCGGAGCGACAGAGGCAGGCAGATCTCTGTGAGTTTGAGGCCAGCCTGGGCTACAGAGTGAGTTCTAGGACAGCCAGGGCTACACAGAGAAACCCTGTCTCGAAAAACTAAAAATTAAAAAGAAAGGAAGAGTCCAGGTATAGCTTTCCCTTTTGGAAAAAGTTTGTCTAAGAGTTTGGATTTAAAGTATAAGCAACCCCCAAATAGAGTTTCCTTTGGAAATTTTAAAGTAAGTTTTGGTTATTTTAAAGAGTAGATCTCTTTTGTCCAAATTATACTGAATAATAAGGAAATTCTCTTGTAAGACAGTGGGGGAAAAAAACTGGACTCTTTTTAAACTTGAAAACTGCACTCAAGTCTAGTTTTCCTGTTCCAGGTGAACAACTACTCCTAACAAAACCTTGATTAATGAAAGGACTTAGTATCTGTCTTAGTTAGGGTTTCTATTGCTGCAACAAAACACCATGACCAAGAAGCAAGTTGAGGAGGAAAGGGTTTATTTGGCTTACACTTCCAGATCATAGTCTATCATTGGGGAAGTCAGGACAGGAACTCAAGCAGGGCTGGAACCTGGAGGCAGGAGCTGATGCAGAGGTGTAGTGGGTAGCTATTCCAGCTTTGATCGGGAAGTTCCAACCCGCATTGAGGTTTCGGGAACTGTCACGCCTACAAGGCGGGGCCAAGGGAGGACCCTAAAGACCCGAGATCCAGATGGGCCTGCTCTCTTGGTTCCTGGACTCTGGACACTGGAGGTAGACTGAGCAGAGTTCTCCAGAGAACACCGCCGGACTGGGCCACCCCTTTCCCAGACTCTGTAAACTATTCCTTCATTTGTAAGTTACCCCACAAAATAAACCTCCCTTTTAACTACGTGGAATGGCCTTAATAATTTCACCAATACAGAGGCCATGGAGAGGAGCTGCTTACTGGCTTGCTTCCCCTGGCTTGCTCAGCCTGCCTTCTTATAGAACCCAGGACCACCAGCCCAGGGATGACACCACCCACCATGGGCTAAACCTTCCCCCATCAATCACTAATTGAGAAAATGCCTTACAGCCAGATCTCATGGCGGCATTTCCTCAGCTGAGGCTCCTTCCTCTCTGATGACTCCAGTTTGTGTCAAGTTGACACACAAAACCAGCCAGTACAAAATCTTCATCTATGACTTTATCAAAATCAAGATTAGCATTGTTTTATCATTTAGGAACACACCCAGTGAAAGAACTCGGTCATTGTCCCTCTTGTTCAGGATTGCTTTAGCTCTTGGGGTCTCCTGGGCTTCCTTGTGGACTTGAGGATTGTTTACTTTTGTGAAGAATGTTGTGAGGATTTTGGTGAGGTCACACTGAGTCTATAAATTGCTTTCGGTAGGATGCTCATTTTCTCAATGTTGAGTTCAACAATCCACGAGCACTGGGAAGTCTTCTCATCTTCCAGTGTCTGCCTCGATTCCTTTCTTCGGAGGTTTAAAGTTTTCGTTTTGGAAGTCTCTCACCTCCTTGCTTAGATTTATCTCTAGGTAATTTTCTGGGGCAACTGAATTCTCATTCATGTTTCCACGGCCTGTTTCTCACAGTGGTTGTTATTGGTGTATAAAAAGAGGCTTTTGTGAGTTGACTTTGTATCCGGTCACTTTACTGAAAATATTGATGATCTCTAGAAGCTTCCTGGCAGAACTTTTGGGCTCTCTCACGTATAATACAATATCATCTGCAGATTGGGATGGTCTCACTTCTTGTTTTCCTATTGTATCTCATCATTTACTTTCTCATCTCTGATTGTTCTGCCCGTGGCTGGTGAGGTCATGGACTCTACAGGAGAACACTTCCTACTGTCACGTTCCGGAATTAATACAGTCCCCACTGTATTCTAAACACCTATCACTATATCCACACGTGAGTGCGGCTCTCACACCACATCCAAGAAGCTTGTTGTTGCAGCAGACTGAGACCATCACAGAAACCCATAACCAGTCAAAATATAGAGAACTAATCCTGGGGTTTCCAGCCCCAGGTGATATATCCACACACAACTCCTGCACCTAAGGTTCAGGGAACACCACAGGAGATGAAGCAGAAAGATTGAAAGAGCAGAGGAAACTGAAGTCTGCTGTGAGATTGTGTCTCCTAGAAATGACATGGAAGCTACACCTGTATTTCAACAAAACGACTAAACAAGACTCAAACAATGCCACCCCCCCCCCAGACATGCTAATGTGGAAGGGGAAAATCCCACAGGGCCCCACCTCCAGACAAAGAACTATATGTAACTAAGAACTTTATAAAGAGGGAGGATTAGTTTCCCCAGGGATGAGCCCCCTAATTGGTCACCCAATACCAAATGGTCAGCCCTGACATCATGTACATACAAGCAGCACTAAACAGTCTCATCGGGTGGTGTTTACATAGTTATGCATATATGTAACAACAATAATCATAGAGAAGAGGCAGTGAGTTTGAGATTAAAGGGGGAGCCACAGGAAGAGTTGGAGGAAGGAAAGGGGGTAAATGATGGTGTCTTAGTTAGAGTTAGTTACTATTGCTGTGATGAAACACCATGACCAAAAAAGCAAGCTGGGGAGGAAAGGGTTTATTTGGCTTATATTTCCAGGTCATAGTCCATCACTGGAGGAAGTCAGGACAGGAACTCAAGCAGGGCTGGAACCTGGAGGCAGGAGCTGATGCAGAGGACACAGAGGGATACTGCTTACTGGCTTACTCCTCATGGCTTGCTCAGCCTGCTTTCTTATAGAACCCAGGACCACCAGCCCAGGGATGACACCATCTACAATGGGCTGGGCCCTCCCCATCAATCACTAATTAAGAAAATGCCCCTAGGCTTGTTAACAGCCCTAGCTGATGGAGGCCATTTTCTCAATGGAGGTTCCCTCCTCCCTGATGACTCTAGCTTGTGTCAAGTTGACACAAAACTAGCCAGTACCGATGGAATTACGATTTAACTAAAAAAAAAAAATTTAATGTTACTTACTGAGGACCTTTTGAAAAAATAAAAGCAAAGAAGCAGATGAAGAGAGAAGAAAAAAGAGTGTAGATTCCTGTATTGGGCATCATCTTCTGCCCAAGGGCAAATCTGTGATACGATTCCCTTCCCATATCCCAGCCCCATCACTGGCCTGTCTTATCTCGAGTCAAACATCACTGATGTGACACCATTACACCATCCACCCGGCATTTGGTCACCACTAACACTGGGGTGCCTTTTCTTCTTGGAGGCAGCTCCGGGGGTTCCCTCTTCCCAAATGACTCTAGATTGTTTCCAGGTGACATAGAACTAGCCAGCACAGGTGGGTAATGTATGGCTGATGAGGGGCTGAAGATAGCCTAACATAATCTGCCTCTGGACTTGCAATATCTCAGCCTCTCCAGATCACTGCCATGCTAATCCATCATCAGCCTGTATGGTCACAGCCTCTTGCCATGAAGGCTGACCCACAGTTAGATAGCACATGTGTGCGTACATCGATGTGTACAGGTGAAAGCTGAGTGACAGGCCTGTGAGACCCCCACCCCGGCTTCGAGTGGGTGTTGGGGGTCTGATAGTGAAAGGAAAGAGCTCGTGGGCCCCACCTTGGGGTTCCCACCTTCTCAGGAATCCTGACTCACTACTGCCCCATCCCCACCTCACTGCTCACCCAGCTCAGCCACAGGAGTCTCAGGGAAGCTGGAACTGGGGTCGGCTGATGGTGGATTGTGCAGGGTT